TGAAGAGAAGAGGCAAATCAGAAGGTAGGGGCCTGAGGGTGACCTGTGACAAATATCCCACTTCAACCGGCTGAGGATAGTTCCATGTGTCTAGCCTCATATTTTGCTTGTTTAGAGAATGCCAAATTGACCAAGGATGTCAACACCACAAAAGAAGGTGTCACCTCCAGCCATTGATTCCCATCAAGTCAGCTTCCAAGAGGACCACAAATCTTTGATTGAACATTTTGGCTTCCATCTTTACCTCCCTTGAAGCTCTCGGTTGTCTCTTCTGGTTCGTGGTGTGTAGTCCTGGGTGCAGGGAAAGTTGTCTTTGGTCCGACTGGCACTTGGGTAGGGCCTGAAGAGAAGGGGCAAATGAAAAAGTGATATTTTTGGGTAATCTATCAAAGGTAGCAATTCAACCTGCTGAGGACAATTCCATATGTCCAGCCCTTATTTTGCGTGTTTAGAGTTTGCCAATGTGACAGAAGACACCTGGGATGTCAACACCACCAAAAGAAGGTGTCACCTCCAGCCACTGCTTGCCATCAAGTCAACTTCCAAGAGGACCACAAAATCTTTCTGTTCATCATTACCTCCCGTGACGCTCTCCGTTTTTTCTTCCGGTTTAGCCTGTGATGTCTTGGTTGGAGAGAAAGTTGTCTTTGGTCTGACTGGCACCTGGGGGGTCGGGCCTGAAGAGAAGAGGCAAGTTTAAAGATGAGGGCTTGAGGGTGACCTATGACAGATATCACTTCTTCCATATTTTAAAATTAAGCAAGCATTATGAAGACACTTACATTCTCCAGACCTCCCTTTAACTCTTATCTAAAGGAAACACAGTGCTCTGTCTATTCCTCTGCCATTTCTTAATATGTTGATGTTCCTCTGTGAAAGATTTCCTTTTTCTGCAGCCTCCCCAACTCCCCCACTTAAAGAGTTCCTTTCAGGAGCCTTTGGGACTGCAGATAAACCAGGGAGTCTACAGATGGCTGGTTGACCTGCTGTTCTATTATTCATCTTCCCATCATTTTCCTTCCTTCCTGATCTGAACTGGTCCATTGGAGAAATTCTCTTGAGATTGAATGGAAGGGAGGGAAGCCTGGGAGACTGAAGATGGCCAGAGAGAGGATGGTACAGTGGAAGACTGGCCATTCATATGTCCAATTCTTGGTCATTAGAAAAGTGCAGGAACATCGCACTCCACCTGTAACATTTTCACTGATAGAAGCGAATATGTGTAGCTCAGGGTTGAACTGTGGAGTCCTTGGGGTTCTCTGAGCTTGGTTCTTTTCTTGGAAACGTTTCATTACCTGGCTAGGTAACATCTGAAGATGTTACCTAGCCAGGTAATGAAACATTTCCAAGAAAACAACCAAGCTCAGAGAACCCCAAGGACTCCACATTTTCACTGAACTTCTTGGATGTTTTGGAAACAAGTTCTCATTCATCGATTTGAGCGAGAACCCATTGGAAAAAATGCTGGTGAAATCTTCAGCATGGCATGACTTCTTTGACAAACTGGGAGCCAATTTGGTGTAACGGTGGACACCAGGAGAATGGGAGCTCTAGTCCTGCCTTAGGCAGGAAAGCCGGCTGGGTGACTGTGGGCCAGTCTCAGCCCAACCCACTGGAAGGTGTCTGGCTGCTGGAGGCTGCTGGGAGAAAACCACAGCTTGTTGGCTTCCACTCCTGAGCCATTTCCCCTCCCCAATATATCCCCTATTTTCATCTGTACTTCATCACTAGCCGGCCTCCAGCTTATCTTTTATCCTTTTCTTTTTTTCTTTCATCCTTTTTGGCGTTCTTTTTTTATCCTTTTTGTTTTTTAATCCTTTTCGGCGTAAAAGCAACTCCAGCAGGAATGAGAAAGTAAGAGTTCTGCCGTGGTGCCGTGAGCAAGCAAGCCATTTTAAATTTCTGGAGCCCTGAATCCAGGGATCCTAGCGAAAGCAAAGGACTTCTGCTGTGCATTGTGGGCACTGTTGCTGGGAAAGGGGACCACTTGATGATGTTTGTTGCACTGCAGTGGGCAGAGGAGGCAAGACAGTGGATTCTGCCCCGACTCCTAAATTGGAGCTCCTTGCAGAAAGTCTTGACTTTGGGGATGGAAGTAGGTGTTCCTTGGGCTGCCTGGAGTCTGCTGGTGAGGGCAGGGTATCAAGATTGCCATCAGTCCAGAAGCGCCCACATGATTGTACGTAAAAACAGCAAAGCTTTGATTGCACCATCTTGATTCTTTTGACCGCGCCCTGCAGACACCTCTGAATCATTCAGTCAATAAAGCACCATGTCACGGGCGCACCATGCTCTCTTTCTGTCTGGCTGCAGAACATCCATGCACCCCCATATCTCTGGCTTTTTAATAAGGGGCATTATTGGCATCAATTAGTAGCATGGAAATGGGGCACAAGACAGACCTGGCTGGGCTCACACCGAGTTATGTGAACCATGCATTTCTCAATGAACCTCATTTTGGGGGTTTATTCAATTAATCCCATTTTATGGGCTCACAGACACACCAGACCACAGTTTGGGCTAAAATGTGGTTTGCCTAAATTCAGAGAATTGTTGGATTTACTACTTTGAGGCTGAAACGGTTTGGGTAGTGTGTTCAGGTAATTCCATAATTTAAGAGCCCTTTTTAAAAATAGTTTCCCTTCTTTTTTATTTCTGTCTATCATCTACCTATCATTTATCTATGTCTGTCTGTCTGTCTGTCTATACACACACACACACACACACACACACACACACACGAGGAAACATGAAAAAGAGTGTAACGCAGATAAATAAACCAGGGATTTAAAAATGTCATGGAGGTTATAGCTTTCTAAAATACTAATTACTTTTGAATCAGTGAATATTATATATATATAACTTTAAGAGACTAAAAATCATTATTAAACATGAGTAGCAAAGACCAGGGATAACACAATATAAATTGAATGGAATTGTACACTGCAGGAAATTCAATTCATATTACTGAAAAATCTGATTTATGTATCTCATAAAATTGAATTATAGATTTAGGTATCTCATAAAACTGAAATATAGATTTTATGCCTAATTTTTTTGTTCTTTTTCAAATAATTTGATTAAGAATTACAAATAGAAAGAATAATACAAAATACAAAAAATACAAAAAGAAAAATACAAATTTCTTTTTTACATTTTTTCCTCTTTTTTTTTTTGTATTTTTCTTTTTGTATCCCTAAATAATTTTGGGGGGCAATACCTGTCTATGTTTTAGATATTAGCTAGGAATGGTTCCTGGTTTCAATTGAATCTCTGTCAGATTCACTTTTAAGAGAGTTATTCTGCATATTAAAGCACATTCCCACAGCTTGGTTAGCTTTTCACTTCAATCCATTCAATTAAAGATTGCTTTGGAAAATTGTACTGATCTGATAAAGCGCTTTGGGATGAACCAATGAATCACACTGATTTTCTGAATGGATTTAAATTGCCAAATCCAGTTGAAATCAGGATCTGAGATTCCATCTGAACTGAGTTGCAGCTGACCTGCACGGCCAAATATACGAAACCAGAAGCATGCACTAGACCATCCTCGCCAGGGAGGGGGACATGAGGAATTGTAATGTGTGGATACTCACGGGGCGAACAGTAGGACTCTGGGCAAGTGAAACGCACTTTGTAATCGAAGCATGATTTTCCTTTCCCTTGCTGGGCATTGATACACGCAAACCCCTCAGTGGGGTTGTTCCTGTTGGAGATAGAAGAGATGGTTGCAATCAGTCCCTGAGAAGGACATCTGGAAGGAGCATTCCACCCCTCCAAACATCTGGCACAAGATGAAAATGCCACAGAAGCACGTGGAGCAAAGCACATCCTCTAAGGGTGTCCCTTGATGCGGGATCTTCTCTTTCTGGGAGGAGAATTCCAGAAAAGAAGGAGAAGGAGAAGGAGAAGGAGAAGGAGAAGGAGAAGGAGAAGGAGAAGGAGAAGGAGAAGGAGAAGGAGGAGTGGTGGTAGAGAAGGAGTGGTGGTGGTAGAGAATGGAGGAGAAGGACAAGGACAAGGACAAGGAGAAGGGTTTGGAACTGAAGGTATTTCATGCTTAAGGTCAGAGAAATCCTTTCTTCTTCCTCCCTGTCTCTGATGCTATTCCACCATAGCCTCCTCAAAGTGTTGGCTTTCAACTCCAGACCTGGCACATCACACTTGTTTCAGAAATCAATCACCTTCATTTCTCCTTGGAAAAGCGTTTAGAACAATGTCCCTCAACCTTTGGTCCTTCAACCTTTCTCGTTGGAAGGGAAAGCTCCTTGAATTCCCAGCCTGTGAATCTTACCAGACTTAGCTGGAAATTCTGGGATTTGCACTCCTGCTCATGTGAAGGTGTGGAAGATGCCAAAGGGCTGGGACTTCCACTTTGTCCCCATCAAGCTTCCTGCCCTGCTGGACACCAAAGTAGATCTGGCTTTCTGGGAGACCATTTGCAACATGGGGGCAAGAAAGTTTCACAGGAGAAAAGAATAAAATTAAATCCTCCTGGTGATGCTGTTGCCAATAAGGGGGCCCTAGGAGTGAGCGTTCCTTTCAGCTGATGTTTTCCATCCAGCTCTTCTGCTCAAAGGGAATTTAGTTCTTCCTTTCTCAAGAGATGATCTCACAAGCTTGATGGTTTTTCCTCCCTGGCCCCACAGATTAAACTGAATCCTTGTAAAATTGGAGGGATCTCAGGCACAGCAAGAGCTGAGCGTTGGTTTATTTTCCTTCGAGTTCTTACTTATTTCGGTCCCAGAATGGCTGGGTCCTTGGGTTGGAGACAGAATTATGCAAAATGAATGTCGATTTGTTAGATGTACAAATTGTCTAGCCCATGTAGTTCACTTTCTCTCTGTTTTATCCGAACAACTGCCCTGGAGGTAGGCTAAGCTGAAAGGCAGTGACCACCCCTTTGAAAGGCAGTGACCAC